TGATGGTATCCGACCAATTGATGTTGAGTATCTTGCGTAGACAGCCATTGATAAATACTTGTACCTTCTTGATGGTGGTTGTTGTAGTTCTCCAAGTTTCAGCTCCGTACAGTAGAACTGCTCTGACGTTCGTATTGAAGATTCTGACTTTGATGTTGGTTGAAAGTTGTTTTGAGTTCCATATGTTCTTCAATTGAACGAATGCTGCCCTTACTTTGCCAATCCTCGCCTTTACATCTGCATCTGAACCTCCTTGTTTATCGACGATGCTTCCCAGTTATGTGAAGGATTCCACATCTTCGAGAGTTTCGCCATCAAGAGTGATTGGATTGCTGTTCTCCGTGTTGTGTTTGAGGACCTTGGTTTTCCCCTTGTGTATGTTGATGCCTACTGATGCAGAGACTGTCGCTATGCTGGCTGTCTTTATCTGCATTTGTTCGTATGTATGCGATAGGAGGGCTACGTCATCTGTGAAGTCCAAATCGTCTAATTGTTTCTGAGCTGTCTATTGTATGCCGTGTTTACCCTCAGATGTCGAGGTCTTCATAATCCAGTCGACCACCAGAAGAAAGAGGAAGGGAGAGAGTAGACAGCCTTGTCTTACTCCGTTCCTTACTTGGAATGCGTCTGTCAGCTGTCGTCCATGCAATACTTTGCACTGCAGTCCGTCGTATGATTTCCGGATGATGTTGACAATCTCAGGAACTCCGTAGTGTCGAAGAATTTTCCATAACGTTCTCCTATCTACACTGTCACATGCCTTCTCATAATCAATGAAGTTGATGTACAGTGACGAGTTCCACTCAATTGATTGTTCGACGACGATCCGTAGTGTCGCAATCTGGTCTGTGCACGACCCGTCCTTATGGAATCCAGCTTGTTGATCTCGAAGTTGAGCGTCTACTGTGTCTTTCATCCTGTTCAGTAACACTATGTTAAAGACTTCCGGATATTGACAGTAATGTAGTGCATCTGTAGTTTTCAAACTTGCTCAAATCTCCTTTCTTTGGAATCTTGATCAGATGTGCTTCTTTCCAGTCCATCGGCACTTGTTCTTCCTCCCAAATATTCCTGAACAGAACGTGGATTATGCTTGCAGCTACTTGAATGTCTGACTTCAGTGCTTCAGCTGGTATATTGTAGGGTCCTGCTGCTTTCTCCCTCTTCATTTCTTCGGTCGTTGGTGGGTTGACATCTATAGGAAGATCTGTGTGTGCTGCTTCGATGTCCGGTGGATTCATTGGAGCCGGCCTATTCAGGAGTTCCTCGAAGTATTCTACCCATCTGTTCCGCTGTTGTTGAATTTCAGTGATTGGCTTGCCTTCTTTGTCTTTGACCGGCCTCTCTGGTTTACTATATTTCTCTGCTAGTTTCTTTGTTGTACCGTAAAGCTGTCTCATATTTCCTTCTCTTGCATCTCTTTTCGCTGTCATGGCTAGCTCTCCCACGTATTTCAGCTTGTCGGTTTGAATGCTCTTCTTCACTTGCTTGTTTGCTTCTGTGTACTCAGCTTGTGTTTGGACTTTCTCTGCCCGTGTTCGGCTGTTGTTAATCGCTGTCTTCTTGTCCTTCCTTTCTTTGATCCTGTCCAGTGTTTCTATAGAGATCCATTCGTTGTGATGATGCTTCTTGGGGCCCAGAACCTCTTGACACGTTGAAGTTAATGCTTCTTTGATACCTTTCCAGTTATCCTGCATGGTAGTTTCTTCTTCCTTCAGTAGATCCTGTAGAGCTTGGAACCTGTTGTTGAGAGCTATCTTGAATTCATTGAGTTTGTCAGTATCTCGAAGGAAGACTGTATTGAACCTTTGTAGCGCTGTTTGTCCAGTTGTCCAGTTTCTCTTTAACTTCACTTTTAAATTGGCCACAACTAGGTGATGATCTGAAGCTATGTCAGCTCCTCTACTGGTTCTCACATCTTTCCAGTTCTTATTCATCCTTTTCATATCCGCTTCTATTTCCCGACCTAATGTGTTCTTTGGCCTTCCTCTTTTCCACTTTCCTTCAGGATTCCAAGTTAGGGCTTGCCTCGTAATACAGTTTGATGATTTCCTCAATGTATGTCCTATCTATTTCCATCGTCTTTTCCTAATTTCCTCTTCAGCTGGAAGCTGGTTGGTTCTCTCCCACAGTAGGCTGTTGCTGATGGTATCCGACCAATTGATGTTGAGTATCTTGCGTAGACAGCCATTGATAAATACTTGTACCTTCTTGATGGTGGTTGTTGTAGTTCTCCAAGTTTCAGCTCCGTACAGTAGAACTGCTCTGACGTTCGTATTGAAGATTCTGACTTTGATGTTGGTTGAAAGTTGTTTTGAGTTCCATATGTTCTTCAATTGAACGAATGCTGCCCTTACTTTGCCAATCCTCGCCTTTACATCTGCATCTGAACCTCCTTGTTTATCGACGATGCTTCCCAGTTATGTGAAGGATTCCACATCTTCGAGAGTTTCGCCATCAAGAGTGATTGGATTGCTGTTCTCCGTGTTGTGTTTGAGGACCTTGGTTTTCCCCTTGTGTATGTTGATGCCTACTGATGCAGAGACTGTCGCTATGCTGGCTGTCTTTATCTGCATTTGTTCGTATGTATGCGATAGGAGGGCTACGTCATCTGTGAAGTCCAAATCGTCTAATTGTTTCTGAGCTGTCTATTGTATGCCGTGTTTACCCTCAGATGTCGAGGTCTTCATAATCCAGTCGACCACCAGAAGAAAGAGGAAGGGAGAGAGTAGACAGCCTTGTCTTACTCCGTTCCTTACTTGGAATGCGTCTGTCAGCTGTCGTCCATGCAATACTTTGCACTGCAGTCCGTCGTATGATTTCCGGATGATGTTGACAATCTCAGGAACTCCGTAGTGTCGAAGAATTTTCCATAACGTTCTCCTATCTACACTGTCGCATGCCTTCTCATAATCAATGAAGTTGATGTACAGTGACGAGTTCCACTCAATTGATTGTTCGACGACGATCCGTAGTGTCGCAATCTGGTCTGTGCACGACCCGTCCTTATGGAATCCAGCTTGTTGATCTCGAAGTTGAGCGTCTACTGTGTCTTTCATCCTGTTCAGTAACACTATGTTAAAGACTTCCGGATATTGACAGTAATGTAGTGCATCTGTAGTTTTCAAACTTGCTCAAATCTCCTTTCTTTGGAATCTTTATCAGATGTGCTTCTTTCCAGTCCATCGGCACTTGTTCTTCCTCCCAAATATTCCTGAACAGAACGTGGATTATGCTTGCAGCTACTTGAATGTCTGACTTCAGTGCTTCAGCTGGTATATTGTAGGGTCCTGCTGCTTTCTCCCTCTTCATTTCTTCGGTCGTTGGTGGATTGACATCTATAGGAAGATCTGTGTGTGCTGCTTCGATGTCCGGTGGATTCATTGGAGCCGGCCTATTCAGGAGTTCCTCGAAGTACTCTGCCCATCTGTTCCGCTGTTGTTGAATTTCAGTGATTGGCCTTCCTTCTTTGTCTTTGACTGGCCTCTCTGGTTTACTATATTTCTCTGCTAGTTTCTTTGTTGTACCGTAAAGCTGTCTCATATTTCCTTCTCTTGCATCTCTTTTCGCTGTCATGGCTAGCTCTCCCACGTATTTCAGCTTGTCGGTTTGAATGCTCTTCTTCACTTGCTTGTTTGCTTCTGTGTACTCAGCTTGTGTTTGGACTTTCTCTGCCCGTGTTCGGCTGTTGTTAATCGCTGTCTTCTTGTCCTTCCTTTCTTTGATCCTGTCCAGTGTTTCTATAGAGATCCATTCGTTGTGATGATGCTTCTTGGGGCCCAGAACCTCTTGACACGTTGAAGTTAATGCTTCTTTGATACCTTTCCAGTTATCCTGCATGGTAGTTTCTTCTTCCTTCAGTAGATCCTGTAGGGCTTGGAACCTGTTGTTGAGAGCTATCTTGAATTCATTGAGTTTGTCAGTATCTCGAAGGAAGACTGTATTGAACCTTTGTAGCGCTGTTTGTCCAGTTGTCCAGTTTCTCTTTAACTTCACTTTTAAATTGGCCACAACTGGGTGATGATCTGAAGCTATGTCAGCTCCTCTACTCGTTCTCACATTATCCATTGTCCTTCGGAATTTTTTATTGAAGCAAATATGATCTATCTTGTTCTCTGTGGTGTGGTCCGGTGAGATCCATGTAGCTTTGTGTATACGTTTGTGTGGAAATATTGTGCAGCCTATGACCAATTTGTTGAATGCACACAGATTTGCAAATCATTCTCTGTTTTCGTTTCTCTCTCCCAGTCCATGCAGTCCCATGATATCTTCATATCCGGTGTTGCCTATTCTGACTTTGGAGTTTAGATCTCTCATCAGAATGGTGAGGTCCTTTCTTGGGCACTTCTCTATGATTGATTGCAGCCTCTCATAGAATTGATCTTTAACGTCGTCGTTGCTATCATTGGTGGGTGCATAACACTGGATAATGTTCATTGTGATCTCCTCCTTCTTTGTTTTGAATGATGCTTTGATGATTCTGAATCCGTGAGATTCCCATCCTACAAGTGCATTTCGTACTACTTTGGACAGCATTAAAAGAACTCCCTGAGTGTGTGGAGCATTTTACTCTTCATAAGCGGAGTATGACAGCAGTAATAAACGTTTTCTATCAGGAAGAAGGTTTACAATCCGTGGTCTAATAAACTTAAAGTGGGGTTACGTTTTTCTCATCGAATAGTCAATGACTTGAACGCCTTACCCGAATAGGTGGTATCAGTCCCATCGGTGAACATATTCAAGGAGAATCTGGACCTCCACTGGAAAGCAAACTGTCAGTACTGACTCAGGTTCATCAACCTACTATCCTTATTACTGAGGCGAAAGTATATATTTATAAGGACAGTTTATCTTGGATAAATTTATTAATAATCTTTGTCATGCATTTACTTTTGCTAAATACTTTACTTACTGTAAAGTTTAAGTTCGATTAGTCTATATTCAAAAGGATCGGCTGTAAGTACACTTACTATCCATCACAGATGAAAATTTGGTCATTTGATTTCGGATTCTGAGCGCGCTTCTTTTGTATGTATGGGTGTCAGTTGTGTTTCTTCTGTAAAGTCCTAGGATGTAAGTTGTGAGGCTTTAGAAACCTAACGTTTTCACACTAAAGGCCAAAGTCTCTCCGCTATGATTTGTGTGACGATCGGTTAGTGCCACGTTTACTACTTTCAGGCTCCTAGATTAACTTCCCGTCAGTATGAATGTAGTAGTAATTTATACGATGAAAGTTATCAACTTCGAGATGAATATTCAAGAAAACACAAAAAGCATTCTCATCGCTCGAAGGAACATGGAAACCATACATCCAAATATTCTAGTCACAAACACAAAAGGACAGGTGACTGGTCACCTGAAATCTCCCCTAATGATGCTCCTAAAAAGTTTGACGTCGTTTATTTTTTTAAAAGAAAATTTGTTTTAGAAAGAAAAAGCACAAGAGGCGTTCTCGCAGTCATAGCAGTGGCAGAAAGGATCGTGTTTCTAGGCACCACTCTCCGGAATGTACGGATATCAGTTCCTTCAAGTTCCGATCCAGTCTTATGTCAGAGTTATCAAAGCATCACAACTTTAAGGAGAAAATTCTAAAGGCTCAAAACGTTCATGAGACTCATGAGGTCAAAGACTTTCGCCCAGTATCCTCCGAACGTGACTTGAAACAATCAAATGTGAAGTGTTTCGAAGCTCCTAAATCTGAATCCTCCCTAATCCCATTAGAGGAAATAGCATTACCACCAGAGCCAAGTAAAAAGCTGTCAAGCTCGGTTTCCTCAGTCAGCACACCACTGTCTAGGGAAACTGCTATACGAGAGTCCAATCCGGATTCAAACGTAAAGGATCCTCATGGGATAGATTTGCCGCAAACGAACAAGCTACTAAAAACACACCAATTACCTTTGCCTACGGAAATTCTGTAAGTGTATATTTTGGCTAATGCTTACATATTTTAGGTCTGAGGATAAAAAACCGTCTATTACGGAACTTCCGTTGCCTCCTGGCTTTGATAGCACAAACATAGACATTATCTTTCCTAATAAGTCACCAAAGCATTCCGTCCCTGGGTCGACTGTGAAACCTGCCGGCAGGCAAAGGATAACTAAACGTCCCAAGTATGTTGTTGGTTATCTTGCCCTTCACGTTTGATTATTTTGATTGAAAGTTGGAACGTTTGGAGATGAAAATGTATTTTCGGTCATGCACCTCACTAACTAAGTCGTATGGTACTAATTAAATTTAAGCACATCTGCATGAACCATAAAACTACCTTATAATACAACACCAATAGCATGAAAGTGGATATCCATAAGGTAAGTAAATAACAGGCAGAGATATTGAAAATCAATCCTCGTTTATAAACCAAAATACAGCAGTCAAGCAGCAACGTCTTGATATATTAGTTTGTTCTGTGTCAATCACCTCTGAGATGTTACTGATATACATCAAACACTTTTGACTGATAAACATGGAAAAATTGGTCACGTATATCGTTACACTGATATCAGAACTGCTTAGTCTGGTCTTAAAACTTCCAACTGGATCGATGTTTAGTTCTATGTCCTATGACCTCAAGTTATTATATTTTTGTTCTTTAGTAGTTATTACGCCATTATTTCGGACTTGCTAACTGGTACGATAGAGATCAACCCAATAAATTAACGCTAAGCTTTCAAACCTCACTTTAATTAGCCATACTTAACTTATCATTATCAGCAAATAACTTCCAGATAGGGATACAGTTATGTATATCATTTCAAATGTATGCTATTACTTATAAGATATGACCTTTGAAAGCAAATAATTTAATAAATCTGGTCTTTAAAACATCACTCAAAGATAGTCTTTAGGTAATATTAAGATTGATCTTCAAGTTCAAGGTTACTATTACACTTGTTACAACTCGATCTTCGGTATGTGTATCATAATAGTGTGAGTTTTTGTTGACTACTTTTCAGTATGCCCATAGGGGATTTGAAATCTGACCGTCAGTCTCCTAAGGTTGATTGTTCGCAACTTTAGCCTATATATATATAATGTATGCGAAACCGATTTCTTGATCTTTGGGTTATTGGAATTTGTTGTATTTTGACTAATAGCTATCTCACTTCATTTTGTAAAGGATTTGCGCACTTAGAAGCAAAAGTCGTAATAACAAGACATGGGGAGAGCGTTCTGTGACGGCTTTTGACACACTAATTCAAGTTGGTGAAGGTACATACGGTCATGTCTATAAAGCAAGAGATAAAATCACTGGTAAGTATTTATTTATTTGTAATATTACGATGTTTATTTCAGGGGAATACAAAGCATTGAAAAAAGTTAGGCTAGAGAATGAAAGGGAGGGATTTCCCATAACCGCTGTTCGAGAAATAAAAATACTTCGCCAACTCAGACATCCTAACATTGTTAACTTATGCGAAATCGTTACTGACAAGGATGATCCTACTGACTTTAAGAAAGATAAAGGTAATGCTTGTTGTTATTCACTGTTTTACTTCCTACAAGGTGCTTTCTTCCTAGTTTTCGACTACATGGATCATGATCTTTATGGTATCTTAGAGTCTGGATTGGTGGTTTTCAGTGAACAACATATCGCTTCTCTGATGAAGCAGCTCTTGGATGGCCTTAGTTTTTGTCATGATAGACATTTTCTTCATCGTGACATAAAGTGTTCCAATATCCTAATTAACAACAAGTAATAAAGTTAATTGAGTTATTGGTTTTTCAGAGGACAGCTGAAATTAGCGGATTTTGGACTGGCACGTTTATATATCGCTGGAGATAAAGAAAGACCATACACGAATAAAGTAATAACCCTGTGGTATCGCCCTCCAGAATTACTCCTCGGTGAAGAAAGATATGGCCCAGCCGTTGACATATGGTCTTGCGGGTAAGAAGAAAATTGTTACAGTTTTTAACCCTCTAAGGTGCATATTAGGAGAAATGTTCACTCGTCGACCAATGTTTCAGGCTAGTGAAGAAGTCGAACAATTAGAAGTCATATCACGAATTTGTGGGTATCCAGATCCAGCTATATGGCCTAATGTTGAAAAATTACCTTTCTATTCGACAATAAAACCTAAAAAGATGTACAGACGCAGACTCCGGGAAGAATATCACATGTAAGGCTTCTATTATTATTATTATTTCCTGCATAGTGTTCCACCACATGCTGTAGATCTCCTCGATCATATGCTTCAGTTGGATCCCCAAAAGCGATGTAGTGCACGCGAAGCGCTAGCTTCACCATGGTTACGGAATATTGACCCTACAAAGATTTCCCCTCCAAGGTATTTACTATAGAAATGTTCTACTCTTTCTTAGATTACCTGTTGACCAAGATTGTCATGAAATGTGGAGCAAAAGAAGGCGACGCATGTTGCGCCAGGAGCAGGAAGTAAAGGCTCAGAGAATTAGCCAAGAAACATCCTCTTCCAAGTTCCCAAGTGGGTTATTTTTTTAAACGTTATTTTTTGTAGCTGTCACATCTCGTACTTCCATAGTAGATGCTAATTCTGTTTCAAATGGACCATCTCGAAACCAAGTATATTCAACAAGCAGTAGGTCTGGATCATTCAAACAAAGCATTCCAAACAAACTTGGTAGTGACGGATTTCCAGATAGTAGTTTCAACATGACACAACTTCGCCATTCTCAATTTTCTACTAATCCCATAGATTCCACTACTAGTCTTAAGAATCAGCTACGAGACTTATTGGCAGATTTCGCAGATTCTGGAATAGATCGTTTCAAAGAATCTATCACTGAAGCACTGAAAGCAAATCCTAATTTATTAAAAGGAATGCAAGAATTACTTGGTCCTAGTGATCCAAGTGAAAATGCCTCAGCTGTTCTTGCGTATATTTTATCTTTGTTGGCAGATTTAAGTAGTCAGAGCTCAACTGCTATGGAAATGAGTGATGCAAGTATCCAAACGGCATCTTCACAGATCCATCCTCAACATTTGCCACGTGATTCAAATAATCAACTAACCTAGTATTGCTGCTACTGCCGCCACTACAGCTCTTTCCAAGGATTCTAGTATTTTCTGATGTGGAAGTTCAACTATTGTGTGCATTATACATATATTTCAATTTTGTTGTATCTAAGCTGTAAAAAATGAAATGCTTTATTGTTTTTGTCCTGTTTATTTAAATGATGTGCTATTTTTAGACAGATAATGTAGATATAAAAACAGACACTTGTGATAGACATTATTCGAAACTTAATTTTATACTGATAAATTTTCGGCCCCAAAATACATGTTATTACTTGATAGTCTTTTTTTCATTTTTACTGGTATCATTTCAAAATGTTTTAGTTGTGAATACATCTTTAGCAATTATTGCACCTGCGTAAACGTTATATTTAGAAAAAAACATTGTCAATATTATTCCATTCTGTCAGGCAGTTTAGTCACGAGACTTGAAGTGACACTGTTTAAAATATTATTAGGTGATTTTAGGTCAATGTTGCACACGTATCAGTGCGCATTGTGAAATATTGTCGTATGTCGATAGTGAAACAGAAATATACCTCTTCAAATGGGAATTAGGAGAGTTTCACTTTCGAAGTAAACTGACTTTCCTCTAAAAATCATGTTGATAGTTTAACAGTGATATTTCATAGGGATACTAGGAAGTAAGGTTTCATAATCTCATTTTCCCACTAATAATTTTTTTTAAGTCATCATTCAAATACTCTATGTTTTGGTAGGATAGCGGGAAAGCTAGCATCTTCTTGAAACATAATGTCAACTTACAATTTTCCTATTGCTTTGATATCATATTTTACTGGTCAAAGTTATCTGTATTAAAAAGAAAAACAATTTTATAGTTTCAGCAATCAGACTGACATTAGAATTATGCAGGTATTTTTAATTTCAGTAACTGACTTTTTGAGTTATGTACTAATCATTTTAAAGTATTCGTATAACATACATCATTAACAATATTTGCGGTCTTATGGAAGGTTAATCCCAAGCATTCTAGATAGGCCACCTTCTATTGTATTTCTTTGAGTAGATAAATGTGAACTATGGTTAGTTTTTATGATCATTTATCATTAAATGTCATCGGAGATATGCCATCTTTAGTTGTATTATCCGATTACCAATGCACATGTAAACTAATAAATCTCACTTTTTATGTGCTATTAGAGTTAATTTCGAATAAATTGAGCATTGGATAGATTGTTATAAATAAATAATATATTTATTAATGTTGAAGCACTCGTTTTTTGAATGTTCATCTTAAAGGTTTTTATCTCCAAGTGATATTTCATACTGAGTTGAACACTCCTCAAATATATGTGTACGTGCATAAGCCTTGTTTGAATAACTACACGCGAAAAACCCGACTGTAGCTGCTACCTTGACGTGGTGGTCGGGCTTGCCTATCGTGATGACCCAACCGAGCTATATTAGCTGGAATATTTGTTCTTATAGGTTCTACCATGCCAGGCAGGTCGATTGGAGAACGGTAAGACTAAAAGCAGCAACTGAAGGTCTGAGGGCAAAGTCATACTGCTGACTGTACAGAGGTGTGACAGCAGTAAGATGTTTTCCTCGGACAACCAGCATCTGCAGCGATGCTGCCTTCTCACAAGGAAGGAAGGGGTTAGAAAAGGTTGACCCAAAAAACGTCACACCTCACGGATATCCGTCTCCAGTGGTAAGGCCCTTTGAAGAGCGGAGCTAACATTAAAAGCCTCCCACAAAAAGGCCGTGCGCGACCGGCCCCAAGCAGTTGTACCATGGGCTCTGCGGTCACGCTCCCAGGTCGTTAAGACCAACACCAATCCGATTTCCTTTTCAGGTCCCTCAAGAAATACCCTTCCACGGTGTGGGCAGCCGGGAAGTGATATCAGCCCTCATACCCGTAACAGCACACGAGACCACGTTGGTCACATTCAAATCTTTCCTACACCTAATAACTCTCTTATCTTCACGACCAACCCTTCTCATGTCCCTTTATCACCTGGCACCGCTAGTGCAAACGATTCGAGTACGCGGAACGTTATACATGGTCTCCTGAAACCACGCTGTAAACTACACGTTGGAACTTTTAACGTCCGAACACTGTGCCAAATAGGACAACAGGCTTCCTTAGCTAGGACCTTGGAATATCGCGCCATCGATGTGTGCTGCGTCTCCGAAACGCGCATACAGGATCCGAGTAGTGTCATTCATATGACCTCACCATGTCAAAATAAAGGACCAACTCGATTCACGCTTCGTGTATCTGGAAGCCCTGATGCTGCTTTTCGTGACCTCGCTGGCGTAGGTATAGCATTGAGTCTTAGGGCAGAACTAGCTCTCCTAGACTGGATCCCAGTAAGCAGTCGTTCGTGCGTTGTCTAACTAAACGGGACAGTGAAGACTCGGGAAGATAGGAACACTCTTCGTCGTCTCTGCTTACTCTCCTATTGATTGCAGCTCAGATGATGTAAAAGATGAGTTTTACAGAAAGCTTTTCAACCCTCTTCGAAAAGCTAGGCGTTCAGATGTAGTAATAGTGGCTGGCGACTTTAATGCTCAAGTAGGTAAACTAAGCGAAAGGGAAAGACACTTGGGTGGATCTTATGGTGTCGCGGCTCAACGAACAGAAAACGGCGACCGTCTGTTGCAGCTATGCCCAGATAACCGTCTGTTTCTTGCAAACATCAACTTGAAGCATAAGGAAAAACATCTTTTGACATGGCGACCCCCGAATTCGTCCCAACGTTGGACCCAAATATATCACATCGCTATCAGCCACCGATGGAGGGGCTCGATGGAAAACTGTCGCTCATTCTGGAGCACTTGCTTAGATTCAGACCATGCTCTGGTGCATGCGCGTATTTGTCTTCGTCTTATTAGACGTAGGATAGACGCTGCAAGGAAACCTGTTAGGGCCCTACCTAGTGATAGTCAAGCTAAGAGTATATTTCAGGAACATCTAGAAAAACAGTTAGGCAGCCATGTAAGTGATACCCACCTCGAGGCAGCATGGAATGACATCCGAAAAGCTGTAGAAACAGCAGTGATGTCTGCAAGTACGGTAAACCATAAGGTTAGGGACAAACACTAGATCTCAGCAGCATCTAACGCACTGATAGATGCTCGAAAACTCATTCCATCTGGCTCTGAACATGACGAAGAGCGGAGTCGGCCTAAGCGCAAGCTGAAAAGAAGCCTACGCAATGATCGTGAACACTGGTGGGTAGCGAAAGCAAGAGAGATGGAAAAGGCAGCGGCAATAGGTAACAACAGGCAACTGTTCAGACTTGTTAAGGAAACCGGTATTAGGAACTTGACTGTTAGCGAAACTATCTCAGAAAAAGATGGACATATTATACATTCCCATTCCAAGAGATTGGACCGATGGGCAGAACACTTTATGGATCAGTTCAACTGGCCTTCAGCCACACTTCGGTTTCCCACGACCTCCAGTCTACCTGAATCGCAGGTTGGTGTAAGTCCTCAGACTTTACAAAGTTGAAAAAGCTGTAGGAAATTTGAAGCGAGGGAGAGCAGCAGGTCCTGACAGGTTTTCTCCTGAGATTTTTAAGGATGGCGGTCCGGTATTAGCAGCGAGATTGACTGAGGTCTTAGGTAGAATCTGGGAACTGGACGTAATCCCATCTGACTGGACTCAATCACTGACTGTGCCAGTCTACAAGAAAGGACAAAAGTCCTCTTGTGACAATCACAGAGGAATCAGTTTGACCAATATAGTGTCTAAAATATTAGCTTCAATAATACTTTGACGCCTAATGAAAGCTCGCGAAGAGCAGACTAGAGAAAACCAGACTGGTTTTCGACCTGGACGTGGTTGTATTGATCAAATATTCACATTACATCAGGTCCTAGAACATTGACACACATTCAGACGCCCCACAATGGTAGTATTTCTCGACCTTAAGGCGGCATTTGACTCTTGATCGTGAGGTTCTATGGCAGTGTTTGTCACTGAAGGGAGTACCAAAGAAGTACATTAACCTTATAAAGGTTCTCTACTCGAACACAAGTGGTTGAGTGAGAGCTTATGGCAAACTGTCATCAGAACTGACTACTTCAACTGGTGTTCGTCAGGGCTGTCCACTCTCTCCATTCTTGTTTAACTTTGTTGTTGACGTCCTTTTAGAGATGACACTTTCCTCATCTAAATTTCTAGAAGTTGAACTTCTACCGGGAGATCCACTTGTTGACTTAGAATATGCCGATGACATAGTTCTATTTGGTGAAGGCGCTAACAAAATGCAGAGTCTGCTGATCACTCTAAGCAACAATGCAGGCATGTTCTGCATGCGATTTTGTCTCTCGAAATGCAAAATGTTGCTTCAGGATTGGGTTGCACCGCCACCCGAACTAGTGATAGGGAGTGAAGTAGTTGAGCGTGTCGACCGCTCCACTTTTCTGGGGAGTCTCATCAGCCCTTGTGGTCTGGTGTGTGACGAAATCTCAGCACGGATACAGAAGGCTCGACTAGCTTTTGCTAACTTTCGTCATTTATGGGGTAGGCGAGATATCCGTCTATCAAACAAAGGACGTGTTTACTGCGCAGCAGTTCGTACCGTGCTTTTTTATGGCAGTGAAACATGGCCAGTAAGAGTAAAGGATATTCGTGGGTTACTAGTATTTGACCATAGATGTTTTCGAAAAATTGCTCGTATATCCTGGGACCACCGAGTAAGTAATGCAGTTGTTAGGAAACGGGTACTAACTAGGTAAGGATGACAAATCAATTGATGAAGTAGTGAAACTTAATCAGTTGAGATTGTTGGGACACATGTCGTGTATGCCCAACCACCGACTGCCTCGATGTGCGATGTTTTCTGGTGTAGGAGTAGGTTGGAAGAAAACTAGGGGCGGCCAGACCAAAACATGGCACAAATCCATGAAGTCACTGACAAGTGGACTGATCCATGTTGGTAGGTGTAGACTACCTGGTTGAGGTCCGCGCGACGATAGCAACCGATGATTAGAGATCTTGAATGACATGGTTCAAAATCGTTTGCAATGGCGCAGGTGCATCCACTCATTGTGTTCTCCCAAATTCTAATCTTCTGAATTCTTCATGTCCCTTCTTTTTTCCTCTTTCACATCTTCAAACCCTAGTCTTTCCAATTACTATTTATACCCTTACCACCTCTACCACTACGTGATTTGAATCGATAACTGAATCTCTGTGCTAATGTGGTATGGCAACTCGAACTGATGTACGTACGTACGAAGTTCCACGTTGTTACTGATTGACACATGAAAAAAAATCATAGATATTTTTTGACACTGA